CAAACAAGCTAGAAAGGCAAGGAAAACAGCAGAACATTATTTCCGTCGCCATCCTATGGTGCATAATTTAAATCAATTTAAAATGTTAAATGCTAAAGCGCGGCGTACTTTTAAACAGAATAAACGCCAATCTTGGCAAAATTATGTATCCAAAATATATTCTCAAACGCCCATGTCCAAGGTATGGGACATGGTCCAGAAAATTAAAGGTAAAGGTACTAAATCTAGTGTCCATCATCTTAAACATGGAGATCAATAACTTACCCAAAAATCAGATATTGCGAATAAACTTGGTGAAACTCTCGCTAAACGCGCTTCCTCTTCTAATTATGTGCCTACATTCCAACAATATCAAAAACATCAAGAAAGGAAAACTATTAATATTAATTCAGATAATGGGGAAGATTATAATGAAACATTTCGATTCATGAACTCCATACTGCTCTTGAGCAAGCTCACGATACTGCTACAGGTGCTGATAACATACATTATCAACTCCTGAAGCACTTACCAGAATCATGTTTAGAGATGCTCTTACGCCTTTTTGATGACATTTGGACATCAGGTAAATTTCCTCCCTCATGGCGTGACGATATAGTAGTACCAATACCTAATCCTGGACGTGATCATACAGATCCGTCAAATTACCGACCTATTGCACTAACCAGCTGTGTTCGCAAAACCATGGAACGAATGATAAATAATCGACTTGTTTGGTACTTTGAAACTAATAACCTTTTAACAGATATACAATGTGGTTTCCGTAAAAATAGAAGACTCGATCACTTAGTGGGTTTGGAATCATTTGATAAAAACGCACTAATTAATAAACAACACGCTGTGTCTATCTTTTTTTATCTGGAAAGGCATATGACAGTACGTGGAAATATGGCATTTTAAGAGATTTACATGGCTTTGGATTGAGAGGTCGTTTGCCTCAATTTATAGCCAACTTTTAAAATGACAGACAATTTCAAGTCCGCGTGGATTCAACCCTGTCTGATCATTATAATCAGGATCAGGGTGTTCCACAAGGCAGTATTTTATCTGTCACACTATTTAGTATAAAGATAAATAGTTTATCAAAAGTTTTAAATGATTCAATAGATGGATCGTTATTTGTGGATGATTTTAATATTTCTTGTCGTGGTAAAACTATGCATACTATTGAACGGCAACCGCAGTTGTGTTTAAACAACATAAATAAATGGTGTTTTGAAAACGGCTTTAAATTTTCTAAATCCAAAACTAATTGCATACGTTTCTGCCGTAAATACAAACCACATAAAGACCCTTAACTATCTCTAGATGGCACTCCCATCAAAGTTGTTAAGGAGGCCAAGTTCTTGGGTTTAATTTTTGACGTATAAAATTATCATTACAGTATATTACCAAACTGTCCTCTAACAAACCTAACCCTGCATATTACTGTGTCTTTAATCCTCTCTATGAGGATTTATACAACAAAAATTCTTCTCTTGTTCCGCCTCTTGGGCACAGAATTAAGCCATTTATTTTTTCTGCCGGCATTGAGCTGGAAACTATAGCTCCTTCCCGTCTTCTTTCTTCTCCTCCTTGGCAACTGGTGAGGCCTGAAAGTGACCTAACTCTGACAAAGTTTAGGAAATCAGAAACAAATGAATTACAATATAAACAAGAATATAATCAATTAAAAAATAAATATAATTTAATGAGAAGCAAAAGAAACGCAAGTTTCGAAAAAATTAAATCACATGAAGGTAATGTTTATGGAACGTTCATGGTAAAGTGACGTATTGATCCAAGATGAGATGATGTCATGCAATTTGACGTCCATACGAAACATTCGCACAAACACACCAACAGTGCAGCAAAACCATAATTGTAGCACGTGCATCGACGGTTCTGGATGAAAAGCATGCATTTCAGTCTGAGGTATCCTTTATAAAGGTTTGTGTCAAAAAAACAGTTCAGTATTGACACTAGGAGATGTACACGCCACACAAACGATGCCTAGACTAAAGACTGAGCAGAGAGGAATGGCCATTGGAAAGTTGCACGGAGGTAGCTCTGCAACCGCTGTAGCTAGACAATTGGGCTGTCATCTTACCACCATTACACGACTTGCTCAACGTCATCAGCAAACCGGGTTGCTGCTGATCGTCCCCGTACCGGACGGCAACGAGTGACATCTCATGCGCAAGATCGGTTCATCCGGGTCACTCATCTAAGGAACCGAACTCAAGCACCAACAGTAACAGCAGCCTTAGTTCATGGGTCAAGGGTAGCAGTGTCCAGCGCTACAATTAGGCATCGTCTTAGGGCTGCTGGAATCCACTGCCGAAGGCCATTTGTGGGGCCAAGTTTGACACGCCAACAACGCCAGCGACGTTTGCAGCCCTCCTACAGCAGGAGTGTCGATGGATTATCTGGCTCAAAACAACATTAACGTTTTTCCATGGCCGTCTCTTTCCCCGTATATGGCTCCCATTGAACATTCTGGGACGAAATTGGACGAAGGATTGGTGCAGGTAGACAGCCACTCACACTTGCACAATTGGAATAGAGATTGGTGTTTGAGCGGAACCAATTGCCTCAGGCATTCTTTCAGACTCTAATGAACTCAATGAGGCCACGTTGCACGGCCTGTGTGCAAGCTCAAGTGCTGTGTGCAAGCCATACACGCGACTAAAGAGACTGTCACTTTTCGCGTTCAGGGGTATCTCCATTTGATGGACTGTGATCAATTTGAACTTATTGCAATTCAATGTCAACGACAACTTTCAGCTGTTAAATTGACAGTGTTGTCTTTAGAATAAATGATGGGACATGATTTTGGTTGTTTTCTATTCACGAACTTGACAAAAAGCCAGATTTGCGTTTCTTTTGCTGTTCAATATACATACAAATCCTTATTTACAGATGGGTCCAAGGATGGTGGCGCGGTGGCATGTGCCACTGTCATTGGATCCCGAACAATATCTTCTCGACTACCGAATAAGAGCTCTATTCTCACAGCAGAAGCTAACGCCATATTAACAGCTCTTAAATATATTAATAAACACCGTATATATAAAAAGTACGTAATCTCTTCCGATTCTCTTTCTTGTCTTCAGGCTATTAAAAATCTTTCTTGTCAACATCCACTTTTATTAGAAATTATTGAATTGTATAATGAGCTTGCTACTGGCCAATGCGACATCGTCTTTTGTTGGTTACCCAGCCACGTTGGCATTTCTGGCAATACAATGGCTGATCTTGCTGCCAAGGCAGCACTCAACAAATCTGTGACGCCACTTCTTATCCAATACTCTGATTACAAAGCTAGCATTAGAACTTATATCCGTGATCTAATGCAGAATAGATGGGACACCCAAGTAGGTATCAATAAACTATATGAAATAAAATCCTACATTGGTTACACCTACTTGGGTTGTCAGTCCAGATTTGAAGAGGTCATCATGCGACGATGTCGTATTGGCCACACAAGATATACTCATGAATACTTATTGAAAGGTGAGGATCCTCCGTTTTGTATCCCTTGTGATGAAAGAATCATGGTCAAGCATGTCCTGCTTGACTGTGTTGAATATTCCATCACAAGGGATAAGTATTTCAAATCACGAACTATGAAGGATCTTTTTACTAATGTCAGTTCTCATTTAATATTGCATTTTTAAAAGAAATAGATTTGTTAAATGATTTGTAAATAGATAAAAGGTATTTTAAACATAGTAGTATAAATTAGCAACTGCGATTGTTAGTGGCTGTATCCTCGAAGGGGGTTAAAGTATCGTAAACTTATTGTCCTCCTGAGAGACCTCTCACCACATCAGCCGTCTCCTGAAACGAGAAGCAGGCATCGAAACCTACTTTACCAGCTCTACACCACTGAAAACCCTACTCAAAGCTAATGGCAGGAACACCTCTAAACGACAACATCAACCCAAAGGTGTTGTCTATAAAATCAACTGTGACTGTGGCGAGGCCTATGTAGGTGAAACCTCCCGGCCCATAAATATCAGAATCAAAGAACACTTATCATCTACCACTAAATCTGATAGAAAATCGGCAATATCAGACCACATCATCAGCTGTCCCAATCACAACATAATTTGGGACAATGTGGAGATATTATCCGAAAACCACCAGGACTTCACCAAAAGGAAACTTGCAGAAGCAGTTCAAATCCGGAGACACAAGCCCTCAATCAACAGAGACCAGGGATATGTCATCCTCTCTGCATACAATGATCTGATAAAAACAACAGCACTTCAATAGCACTTCAGCTATCATTGTTAATAAATTAATCTCATCAGCATGTATATTTTGTTTCTACCTCCACCACCATTGGCTTCCTATTGTCACTACATTATTGCCACCGTGCCTTGTTGTTGTTGTTAATCCCCCTGATTCATTCCTACATGTTGTTATTACTTAATCCCTGTTCATGTATATAAGTCTGTTCTGTGCTGTAGTACTTCACTCTTGCTTGACAACGGTATAAGAATCCATACCGAAACGTCGCATCATATATAATAAAGAAGTTGTTATCCATAAACTTTCTTACTTTCTTATTATTCACCAACTTCTAAATGCCAATCAAACAGATAATCCAGTGACTGACTTCAAGATTTGACGTACATTGACGTTTTAATTTGACGTACATTGACTGGTTTGCACGACAGTCATTTTGTTGAGAAACCTCAGATGTAGTCAAGGTCCGGGGCCTCAGGTATACCTGTCAAGGTAGTAGCGTCACCACCAAAGACTTAAAAACACTTTTGATACGTGCCTAATGTTAATATTTGACTGTATAAAGCTTTACATGAAAATTCAATGACGTGAAGTGCAGCCTGAAATATATCATGTTGAAATTAGTATGGTGACGAGAGGGCGTTCTATCTCACGTCATAACACGTGGTCTTCTTCTTGCGTGTGTCATTCGTTACATACCGTTACGGCAGTATTATGGAATATTTTACAAAACCATTGAAATGTTAAAACCAAAAGATCAGATAAAACATTGCTAAATTATTATTCTTGTGAATACAACATCGTGAAAACATTTGCTAACCTTTTCGCAAAAACATTTTTAAAACATCATAGAGAAATGACCAAAAATCAAGTGTGGACAAGACAATCCAGTGATCAACAGCAGCAGCATCGATCTGCGCAATTGGGAACCGATGACATGTGTCAACCAAGCCGTTAGCCGCCCCAAACGACAAGCATGGGTTACTGAAGGTTCATTCTAACCCGGACCTTCACGGGTCAGAGAGGACAGCCTTACATAAACATTTTCAAAACATGAATAAGGTAACAGACATATATGAGATAACATATATCAAATATGTACATGATAAAGGTATGCGAGTATGCTGCTGGAGAATATAATCGACGGTTCACCACTTCTCATGCAGTCGTGTACACAACGACGACCGCCGTACTTTGCCTAACGGCGACAGAAGAGGAAAATAATGACCGTGACGAGACTAGTTTTACGACCTGGTGGCAATGTTTTAAACCTTATTAACTCGCTCGCAAAATAAGATAAAAAGGGCTGTACGGCCCTTTTTGAACGACGTTCATGTGCACAGAATAAATGAAGTAAGAACGCTTGAATATCAGGGAAGTATATACTTAATAACATATCCCTGAAGCATTGTCACGGAACACTACATCTATACAAGCAAGGAAGGAAAAATGCATATAATTTGATCATGCTATGTTGTCATGATGGAGGATGTACTTGTAACAGGATCAACAGTTCAGTTAATCAAACTATTCTCTTTCTAGCATTTTATGGCTCACGATGCTGGTCATATTGATTCAGGGACTTTACAAACACAAATATTTCTCGACATCTATTTGTTCAGGTAAACAGTTAAAAATTCCATTTATGGGGTACTTCCGCTTCTCCAGGCAGATGCTTCAGACTCCGTACGACGGAAGAGGTCTTAATGATAATAAAGAATATACAATGGCATGACACGAAACAGTAATAACTCGCCACGTCACTGCTACACCTGCGTTCAGTTGCAAAGAGATCATTGTTGTGATATCATTTAATTTGTGTTCAAGAAAAAAGTCCCAAAAGTGTGTACAGTGAAAAGGTTATGTAGTATACGTCCTTGGATAATTTCTCCCCTAAATGTTCTGTATACAAAGTTATCAAACCCCTTTATCTCTTATGACTGAATGCGGCCGATGTCATTTGGACTAAATGTGTAAACTGTTCATCAATGTTAGATACGTTTGTGAAGTGATCATATAAAGCAACAACCATTGTTTAGCCATGGCAAGTTAGTAAGCATATGCGATCATAACTTACACAGAATATTATCCCGGCATTCAAGCACTCATGTTTTAGGACCCATGCCAAAGGAGTAAAGAATGAGACCAAATACTGACAATTGTACCCCGTCATTTTTGAGATGTGAATGAAAAAATACAAAATTATTATGCATACGATAATACAAGTATATATACTTCCCATGGTTGCTGTCGCTCTTAGCTTGATAACTGTGTTAGAATCTACATCGAAACGTCGCTCTATGCAAAAAGCAGGAAGTTGTTATCCATGAAGCTGTATCCATTCGTTATATACCGTTACGACTGTATTGCGGAATATTGTGCAAAACCATTGAAATGTTAAAACCAAATGTTCAGAGAAAACGTTGCTAAAATGTTTCTTGAACCAAACAAATTCACGTGAATAATAAAACGTTTTAAAACCTTTCTGGAAATTTATGTTCCGGTATCAAATTCCGTGGTAGCTGGATTGTCTCCAGGCAGATGCTTCAGACTCCAAATGTGCGACGGAAGAGGTCCTCTTGTGAATGATAATAAAGAATATACACTGGCATGACACGAAACAGTAATAAAATCGCCACGTCACTGCTACACATGCGTTCAGTTACAAAGAGATCATTGTTGTGATATCATTTAATTTGTGTTCAAGAAAAAGTCCCAAAAGTGTATACAATAAAAGGTTATGTAGTATACGTCCTTGGATAATTTCTCCCTAAATGTTCTGTATACAAAGTTATCAAACCCCTTTATCTCTTATGACTGAATGCTGCCGATGTCATTTGGACTAAATGTGTAAACTGTTCATCGATGTTAGATACGTTTGTGAAGTGATCATATAAAGCAACAACCATTGTTTAGTCATGGCCAGTTAGTAAGCATATGCGAACATAACTTACATAGAATATTATCCCGGCATTCAAGCACTCATGTTTTAGGACCCATGCCAAAGGAGTAAAGAATGAGACCAAATACTGACAATTTTTTAGATGTGAATGAAAAAATACAAAATTATTATGCATACGATAATACAAGTATACATACTTCCCATGGTTGCTGTCGCTGTTAGCCTGATAACGGTGTAAGAATCTACATCGAAACGTCGCTCTATGCAACAAGCAGTAAGTTGTTATCCATGAAGTTGTATCCTTCATTATTTTAAACATTGATAAGAATACAGTTCTCAGTGCTTACATTACTTCTTACAACACATCCGTCTGAACACAATCTTTGCCTGTGATCGGAATTTGTCACTCATGAACCCGTATATGATTGGATTGGATACAGAGTTGATGAAGTAAGTTCTCAGGAAAAGGTTATACAGAGCCAGTGGCGCCCCCTCTAGGTGGGCGTACGTGTGTTTCTGTACGGCCCGTGTCGCCATCAGAGCCAGATGAGGAACAAAGCTGAGAATAAACACGGCCGTGATGATGAACATCATTAACGTGGTCTTGTGTGTTCCGTTCTTTAAGCCAGAGTTTATTTTCGCAACCTTTTTTCCATTTGTGTTAATTGGCGATGTCGTCGTATCGTCGTTCGAGGTGATCGTATCATCACACGACAGTGACCCTTCATGTGCTGATGTTACAGTGTTGTCGCGTGATGATGTCGCCGTGTCGTCACTAGTCGCTATGTTATCCTGTGCTGATACCAATGTGCTGTCGCGTGTTGACGTAATCACTGTGTCCGTCACAGACGTCGCTTCACCCGACTGTGTTGAGCAGGCCTTGCGAGGGGATACCGTTAGGGGTCATGCCTTCCCTGTACCTCTTCTGTGCTCGGACTCTCTTCAGAATCAGCGCATAAAGCGTAGTAAGAGTTGATATGGAGATAACGGCAATGAGAAGTTGCATCCCGTTAAAGAGCCCTGGGAATGGTGTCTTGACCATACTGTCATCTGTGGCGCATGCGTAGCCGACAACAGTTCTGTTGACCGTCTTCCTGCCTAAAATGACCATCGAGGGTGACGCAAGAGTTATAGCAACAATACAGCCAATACCAACTGCAATTTTCGCCCTTTTGACAGAAATCTGAGACTTGAAAGGAGTACATACCCTTTTGTATCTGTCAACGGCGATAGATATAAGCACGGATATTGAAGTGGTCACACAGGCAAGGACAATCGTCCGGAACACCCTGCAGAGCCATGGGATATCGAAGGAGTACAGGTAACGGACTACAACAATTTCTACTGGAATACACACAATGCACACAACGGTGTCAGCAACAGCCAGGGCGGTGATGAACAGGCGCGTGGTGCTTCTCTTCAGCCTGACAGCGTAGATATAGATCACCAGGATATTGCCAAAGAAGCCGACCAGCATCATTATCCCCATGGTGACAATGACAGGGGACATAAGCACCGCTATCTGAGAGTGGTATTCTTCAGCACTGTCCTGTGTCGTACCTTTACCAGGCGTTGCCATGTTGAACTGGAAACATAAGAGATGACAACGCGTGAGTGAACTTGGTTTCAGCAATATTCCAGCAATATCAAAGCGGGGACACCAGAAATGGGTTTCACACATTGTACCCATATAGGGAATCGAACCCGAGTGTTAGGCGTGACGCTGAGAAACGATGTCATACCGACCTGATTTCATGCAGCATAAACGTCATGATATGGAAAGAAACTATCACGGTTACCCATCATCTATACAAAAGCATTATAAAAGGAGGACGCGAGTTTAACAAACCTCCATGTACTCACCTGCGTTGTTCACAAGCAACTAGACCCAGAGACTGCCCCAAGGCATATGCACATTTCGACCAGGAAGTTCAACAGGCCTTCACTTGCACCACTCCCACTGTAGCTATTCATTCGAATAATGGCTTGTGTAACTCGTATACCCGTAGTGTGTGTCGAGTGTTGAACTACATATAGACCAGGTTGGATAAGCAGCACTGTGTCATACAAATGTATATGAAAGCGAGCGCAGAAGCTGCTGTTCGAAAAGGGCGGGGTCCAGCAATTGTATAGTCTTGACAGACTGCACCAGGTTGTAGGTCAAGTATGTTGTTTATGTGAGTTTTTTCCCCTTTAAGGCTGTAGAATTTTTATTATGCTTTAAACGGGGTATGTACCCTAAATATATACACACACACGTACAACAGCAAACGGACACCACTCTCTCAGATAGATAGATGATAGATAGATAGATAGATAGGTAGGTAGCAGATAGAATCTTGAATCAATTGGACGATGGTGGGGTCGTAGTAATTACAGCCCACGGTCTTCAGTCACACAAACACACACACACACACACACACACACACACACACACACACACACAAACAATCACATGCACAAATACACACACGGAATCCTTGTTAACACAGTTTCATGTGATGTTTTATTCACCCATTTTGGAGTTAAAATTGTTTCCCAATTCTGTCTGTTCACAAACATACATCGCTTTGCAAGATTCCGTTTTACGAAGGAGGAAAATAAAACCAGTCCAATCCGGTATCGGCAAAATGCCTTCATGACATTACAAGTTATTTTGTAAACCAATCATTTTGCTGAGAAACCTCAAAGGTAGTCAAGATCCGGAGCTTTCTGTCAATATGCTTCGTGTTTGCCTCTTCAAGGTAGTTGCGTTAGAATCAAAACTAACAAACATACTTAGTTTGAATCTTATGTTCATATTTGACTTGTGAAATGAAAATCAAGTGTGCAGTTTAGTAAAGTTACTCACTGAGCCAATCAGTTACTCACTCACTCAATCTCACGTCATAACACGTGGTCTTTCTCTCATGTGTGTCCTTCGTTATATACCGTTACGACTGTATTGCGGAATATTGTGCAAAACCATTGAAATGTTAAAACCAAATGTTCAGAGAAAACGTTGCTAAAATGTTTCTTGAACCAAACAAATTCACGTGAATAAAAGATTTTGTGAAAACTTTTGCTAACCATTCCGTAAAAACATTTTTAAAACATTATAGCCAAATGTTTAAGAAGATGCTTCTGAAACGTTTCTGGAACCACACAAAGTCATGTGAATAAAACGTTTTAAAAACCTTTCTGGAAATTTTCGCAAAATGTTCCGGGGATGTTTTTTTATCAAATTGTCGTGGTAGCTGGAATGTCTCCATACAAATAATCCCGACTTCTTTACTATTGATCTTTATACTATTTCGATTTTCTTTATTATAGTTCGAGTTTCAAATGTAAAACGTCGAGTTCAGGGAACTCCACGCGTAGTCACCTGTTTCTTTCTCTTGTGACTTCTCATTTCTAAACTCACTCACTCACCCACACACACACCTGCCCATACACCCACTCACTCACTTACTCACTCACTCACATACGTGGCTTCAACGTACCGAACTGTCGAATTGTAGAATTCTGATTTAAAGTAATTTTGTGATTAAGGAATTTGTATTGGTAAGAAATGTGTAAGCGTTTGTAGTGTAATAATGCACGCTTCTTTTGGAAGTTGAATCACGGTTGTCAGGCAGACAAAACATTAGGTGAAGGCCTTCAAAACAGTACGGCATAGATGTACATGGGGCTCTCACGTGTGGTAAGACCACTAGTGGAACTATTCTCATGTAGTTCGGACGTTGTTAGCCGTTATTTGCCGGGTTTTCGCTCCGGTTAGCGTCCCCATGCCATCATACCGTACTGTAGGTCTACTGTTTCAAGTTAACTTATCTATCACTGACGAAATTAATTACTGCGTACAGGTGTTCCGGTGTCCTTATCGAACATTAATTAATTTCCAAGTCTTTTTGTAATTTGTGATTGATATGTCAAATATGAATATATAGGTGGGCAAGCTGGCTAAGGCGCCAGGCTAGTGATCCAGCGAGGTTGAGGTGTCGGGATCGAGCCCACCTGTGACCGGGTGTAAAAACCTTGGAGTCAACTTTGTGTGCAGACTCTTTCAGTGTTGTCACAAACCCTAGTGTACAGTACACAACCCTGTGCACTTAAAAGAACCCACGAATCCGTTGGTATTTGACCAGATGGTGGCCACATGAATACGTGCAAACGCCTAGTTGCGGGTACAGCAACGTGCAGTGAACATGGATAAAGTACTGTGACTATGTGTCCCAATCCACCCAGCTGTGAAAGTGTACCTCGTTAGGATGAGAAAGCCACAATAGCTCGGTGCGCCTAGTGGCTGCAAGAGTTGTATACTCCCCAGGGAGTTGAGATTGATAATGCGATGTGCCGTTGAGATTGACATCCAATGATCGAGGGGAAAAAATACCAGCGCCTTGAGCATGCACTAGTGCGTGGATATGTGCGCTATATTAATATCCTATAATAATAATATATACACTTTTGTGGAGTGACAGATATTGGTTGAATGATAATGAGCAAGTATGCAGAAATTAACCAGATATATTTCCCCTACCGCTCATGCATATAGCAGCTAAATTTAGTTGCTGAAGTGAAAATAGGAACAACTACCTACTTTCTGTTTACTGGGCTGCTCGCAGGAATGAGATGTGCCATGAATGTAAACAGAAAGACTTGATTTATTAGACTGGGAAAGTGTACGCTTCATTTCATGTTATTTTAAAAGTTATCGATGGTAAAAATCATGGAAGTCAAAATGTCAAAATGTAAGTCGTATTGAACTGATGTTTTGTGTTTATTTGTTGTTTAACGCCGCACTCAGAATTATTTCCCCAGGTATTTGAAAACCTAGACAAAACAATCCAGTGACTGACTTCATGATTTGACATACATTGACGTTTTAATTTGACGTACATTGACTGTTTTACACGACCGTCATTTTGTTGAGAAACCTCAAATGTAGTCAAGATCCGGAGCCTCAGGTATACCTCTCAAGGTAGTAGCGTTACCTCTAAAAACCTACAAACACTTTTGATACGTGCCTAATGTTAATATTTGACTTATTAAAGTTTACATGAAAATTCAGTGACTTGAAGTGCAGCCTGAAATATATCATGTTGAAATTAGTATGGTGACGTTCTATCTCACGTCATAACACGTGGTCTTCTTCTCGCGTGTGTCATTCACGGCTGTATTACGGAATATTTTACAAAACCATTGAAATGTTAAAACCAAAAGATCAGATAAAACATTGCTAAATTGTTATTCTTGTGAATACAACATTGTGAAAACATTTGCTAACCTTTTCGCAAAACATTTTTCAAACATCATAGCGAAATGACCAAAAATCAAGTCTGGACTAAACAATCAAGTGATCAACAGCAGCAGCATCGATCTGCGCAATTTGAAACCGATGACATGTGTCAACCAAGCCGTTAGCCGCCCCAAACGACAAGCATGGGTTACTGAAGGTTCATTCTAACCCGGACCTTCACGGGTCAGAGAGGACAACCTTTAAGTTACATAAACATTTTCAAAACATGAATAAGGTAACAGACATATATGAAATAACATATATCAAATATGTACATGATAAAGGTATGCGAGTATGCTGCTGGAGAATATAATTGACGGTTCACCACTTCTCATGCAGTCGTGTACACGGGACAACGACGACCGCCGGACTTTGCCTAACGGCGACAGAAGAGGAAAATAATGACCGTGACGAGACTAGTTTTACGACCTGGTGGCAATGTTTTAAACCTTATTAACTCGCTCGCAAAATAAGATAAAAAGGGCTGTACGGCCCTTACGTTCATGTGCACAGAATGAACTAAATGAAGTAAGAACGCTTGAGTATCAGGGAAGTATATACTTAATAACATATTCCTGAAGCATTGTCACGGAACAGTACATCTATACAAGCAGGAAGGAAGAATGCATATAATTTGATCATACTATGTTGTCATGATGGAGGATGTACTTGTAACAGGATCAACAGTTCAGTTAATGAAAGTATTCTCTTTCTAACATTTTAAGGATCACGATGCTGGTCATATTGATTCAGGGACTTTACAAACACAAATATTTCTCGACATCTATTTGTTCAGGTAAACAGTTAAAAATTCCATTTATGGGGTACTTCCCCTCTCCAGGCAGATGCTTCAGACTCCTTGCGACGGAAGAGGTCTTAATGATAATAAAGAATATACACTGGCATGACACGAAACAGTAATAAATCGCCACGTCACTGCTACACATGCGTTCAGTTACAAAGAGATCATTGTTGTGATATCATTTAATTTGTGTTCAAGAAAAAAGTCCCAAAAGTGTGTACAGTGAAAAGGTTATGTAGTATACGTCCTTGGATCATTTCTCCCTAAATGTTCTGTATACAAAGTTATCAAACCCCTTTATCTCTTATGACTGAATGCTGCCGATGTCATTTGGACTAAATGTGTAAACTGTTCACCGATGTTAGATACGTTTGTGAAGTGATCATATAAAGCAACAACCATTGTTTGGTCATGGCCAGTTAGTAATTATATGTGTACATAACTTACATAGAATATTATCCCGGCATTCAAGCACTCATGTTTTAGGACCCATGCCAAAGGAGTAAAGAATGAGACCAAATACTGACAATTGTACCCCGTCATTTTTGAGATGTGAATGAAAAAATACAAAATTATTATGCATACGATAATACAAGTATATATACTTCCCATGGTTGCTGTCGCTGTTAGCCTGATAACGGTGTAAGAATCTACATCGAAACGTCGCTCTATGCAAAAAGCAAGAAGTTGTTATCCATGATGTTGTATCCTCATTATTTTATACATTGATAAGAATACAGTTCTCAGTACTTACATTACTTCTTACAACACATCCGTCTGAACACAATCTTTGCCTGTGATCGGAATTTGTCACTCATGAACCCGTATATGATTGGATTGGATACAGAGTTGATGAAGTAAGTTCTCAGGAAAAGGTTATACAGAGCCAGTGGCGCCCCCTCCAGGTGATCGTACGTGTGTTTCTGTACGGCCCGTGTCGCCATCAGAGCCAGATGAGGAACAAAGCTGAGAATAAACACGGCCGTGATGATGAACATCATAAACGTGGTCTTGTGTGTCCCGTTCCTAAGACCAGAGATGCTTTCGCAATCTTTTTTCCATTTGTGTTATTTGGCGATGTCGTCGTATCGTCGTTCGAGGTGATCGTATCATGACACGACGGTGACCCTTCATGTGCTGATGTTACAGTGTTGTCGTGTGATGATGTCGCTGTGTCGTCACTAGTCGCTTGGTTACCTTGTGCTGATGTCAATGTGCTGTCGCGTGTTGACGTAATCACTGTGTCCGTCACAGACGACGCTTCACCTGACTGTGTTGAGCAGGCGTTGCGAGGGATACCGTTAGGGGGTCATGCCTTCCCTGTACCTCTTCTGTGCTCGGACTCTCTTCAGAATCAGCGCATAAAGGGTAGTAAGAGTTGATATGGAGATAACGGCAATGAGAAGTTGCATCCCGTTAAAGAGCCCTGGGAATGGTGTCTTGACCATACTGTCATCTGTGGCGCATGCGTAGCCGACAACAGTTCTGTTGACCGTCTTCCTGCCTAAAATGACCATCGAGGGTGACGCAAGAGTTATAGCAACAATACAGCCAATACCAACTGCAATTTTCGCCCTTTTGACAGAAATCTGAGACTTGAAAGGAGTGCATACCCTTTTTGTATCTGTCAACGGCGATAGATATAAGCACGGATATTGAAGTGGTCACACAGGCAAGGACAATCGTCCGGAACACCCTGCAGAGCCATGGGATATCGAAGGAGTACAGATAACGGACTACAACAATTTCTACTGGGATACACACAATGCACACAACGGTGTCAGCAACAGCCAAGGCGGTGATGAACAGGTGCGTGGTGCTTCTCTTCAGCCTGACAGCGTGGATATAGATCACCAGGATATTGCCAAAGAAGCCGACCGCTATCTGAGAGTGGTATTCTTCTGCACTGTCCTGTGTCGTACCTTTACCATGCGTTGCCATGGTGAACTGGAAACATAAGGAGATGACAACGCGTGAGTGAGTAAGTGAGTTTAGTTTTACGCCGCTTTTAGCAATATTCCAGCAATATCAAAACGGGGACACTATAAATGGGTTTCACACATTGTACCCATATGGGGAATCGAACCCGGGTCTTCGGCGACGAGCCAACGCTTTAACCACTAGGCTACCCCACCGCCCCCTGCTCGCAGGAATGAGATGTGCTATGAATGTAACCGACAAAGCTTGATTTATCAGACGCTTTCAGAATTAACGCTTCGTTTCATGTTATTTTAAGATTTTGGGATGGTACAGTTATGAGGGTCAAAATGTAAGTCGTATTGAACTGATGTTTTGTGTTTATTTGTTTCTATTTGTTTTTGAGGACGGTCGGTAAATAACCGAATCTAAACAAGACAGTCAAGTGACCGACATCATGAGCATCGATATTTGCAACAAGGATACGATGACATGCGTCGGTGGCAGAAGGGCAGGTTGAACTGATGCATACATGCCCTCTATAAGACCATCGCGTTACTGAGGTGAATGAGCATGCCCCGGAGAGCTTCAGTGAGCTTCTTGTGTGACTCAAACACTGTTTGATCGGAGTTGCATTGTTTGTTGCCTCGGTAAAACGTTTTGGTTGATATATTATATGTCGAGGGTATTTCTACTGACAAACATTTCTGGTGTCCCCCGCCGTGAAGTTGCTGGAATATTGCTAAAAGCGGCGTAAAACCAAACTCAGTCAGTCAGTCAGTCTACTGACAAACAAGGATAAATTGAGCACCGACCTCACAATTGCCTCGATATAGTATGTATGAGTGCCGCCAACTGGCGCTTGCCATTGTGAGCAAAAGGGCCCCAGGTTTTCCGCGATCAAGTGTAGTGCGATGGGTGAAGCGCGCGGCCTGTCACGATCGACACCTGCTCGGATGCGCCTCGGTGAAGAGAGAGATAAATCGTTGGCATTGCTAGCTTTTAACAGTGCCTGTTTCGTAGATGTACATTCTTTCTCCATGTACTTAATAACATTGTATGCCACTTCTCGGGTCTGAGAATGTATTATCTGACCGTGCTTACCTAACTTTGACATGTTTAATTCTCTCGAAATATATATCTATATATCCGAATATTACCGATTTCATACACCGACCACGTGAGAGTCTTATGGGCAAGGCGTGTGCAACTACGCTCGGAATCAATTTCATCGTTTTGCACTGCACGTCCACTAGCCTACATCTGCTCTACCTTTCACAAACCAAATGGGTTTGCTCATTGCCGTGCACCGCCTACTTCTCCTACACACGTTCTCTGTGTCGGTGCAACTTATCCTTGTTTGCCAGTAAATCTATGTTCAGTTGTAATATGAGACGTGAGAACCCCATATACATCTAGGCCGTACTCTTTTGAGGGCCTTCACTAAGTGCAGCGGTTCAACTCCCAAAGAGAAGCACGCACTATTACCCTGCTAAACGCTTACCAATACATGTTCTGTCGATCATACTCGTCCATATGCACATGGAGTCACATCGTTCATCATTCCAGCTACTGATCTACTGGCAATATTCGTGCATACCTGGCCACAAGTACGTAGCTTGTACACCATATATACTACTGAAACAACGTTAAGGATCAGCCGATTCAGTCATGTCGTGACAGATTAACTGTGGCAACATAAGGAAAAGGTGATCTTGTCATTCTGTCAGTAGTATAGTTGCAGTACTTAGGGCCCTCAATACACATACCCAGTGTCAGTAATGTTCATAAGGATACCTCCATAGGTTACATCTTTAAATAATGACTGTGTTTTAATTGACTGCTTCTACTCGTCATTTTGCTGAGAAACCTCAAAGGTCAAGATCCAGGGCTTCAGGTATACCTGGCAAGGTAGTAGCGTTACCACCAAAGACTTACAAACACTTTTGATAGTGCCTAATGTTAATATTTGACTTTTAAAAAAGTTTACATGAAATTCAATGACGTGACGTGCAGCCTCGTACACCATGTTGAAATTAGTATTGTAACCCCCCTGAGCCAATGGGGCAGGTGACGATAGGGCGTTCAGTCTCACGTCATAACACGTGGTCTTCCTCTCGTATGTGTCATTCGTTACATACCGTTACGGCTTTCTCATGGAATATTTTGCAAAACCATTGAAATGTTAGAACTAAATGATCAGAGAAACAATGGTAAACGCTTGTGGAACCATCCAAATTCACATGAATAAAACATTTTAGCCAAATGTCCAAAACGTTTGTGGAACCATACACATTCATATTAAAAATATAACGTTTTAAACATTTCCGGAACTTTTCGGGAAATGTTTTGGGGATGTTTTCCTATCACATTTTCGTGTTAGCTGGGTTGTTTCATTAGAAAGAATTCCGATTTCTTAACTATTGTTAGTTATGGTATTCCTTTCATTTCGATTTTCAAATGTAATGCCTCGAGTTCGGGGAAAAGCCTTCGAGCATCATCCACCCGTAGTCATCTGTTTCTCTTGTGACCTCAACGTACCAGAATACCCATGAAGATCCGATATAGAATTTATCTTCTGAAACTCATACTTGTCTTAACGGGCAACTAACGCGATCGGGTGATCTGCCTCGATAGATTGGCTGATACATGTCATCGTGTCCCACTTCCGTAGATCGACGTTTATGGTGTTAATCACGGATTTGGTTTGGTACAGACTCAAATATTTGAAAATCACCGAAATTTAGAGCTGGAATATTGCTGACAGTGGTGTAAACAAACAAACGTTGTTTCAATCTAAGAATATGAGATCATGTTTAAAATAACAGAATGTGTGTATGTTAGATTCCGTGCTAGTGGAGATATGTCCACAAAGCTTCACACTTTTCTAGTTGGGGTTGCGTCTGTCAAATTACTATTGAGAGACTGTCTATCATGTTCACCATATGTGGCACTATTTGACCATGTGTATTTTATATTCAACAGAAATTTACAAAGAAATTAAATATTTACCTTCACTGTGTGAAGCCCTATTTTGGTGTCCCCTGCCGTGATATCGATAACATCAATGTACTACAACGAGGGGAAAACTCCTCTTTACCATAATGCCATTCTATCAAATTACGGCCTCAAGTTGACTTCATACTGCGCACAGGTGTCCCGGCGTCCTGACCGAATATTAATTAATTTCGAGTTCCTTTTTGTAATTTGTGAAGGATATGTCAAATATGATCATATATACACATTTGTGGAGTGACGGCTATTGGTTGAACGATAATGAGCAAGTATGTAAAAATTAACAAGATATATTTCCCCTACCGCTCATGCATATAGCAGCTAAATATAGTTGCTGAAGAGGCGTTGACCAACTCGTGTTATTCTGGAACAAACCGCGACTCGGTTTTAATATTGGCGTAGGAACATCAGAACTACTTTAAACAGGAACGATTACTCTATTCTTGTTTGATTCCAATGGTAATTAATATCACCGAGTTAATCATACATTGTATTGCTGTTTATGTTATAAAGAATTAAACCTTTTTGATACAACTAAAAGAAGGCGAAAAACTTATTTGTAACAGACTTATTCTGACGTAATTATTCACCTTATATTTCCAATTATATTTCTAAATAGGTTTGATAATCACAAATGGGATTTGTTTTATTAAATATGTAAATAAAAGTTATAAAAGCTACATTAAATCCCAAAGCAGAAACTCAAAAAAGCCTTTAAAATATTTCTCAAATGAACATAAAAAGTCAGACTAAAATATTCCCAGAGATGTGAAATATATGCCCAACGTTAAAGATTAAAGTTGATTACTTACATGCAGACATATGTCTAATATCATTGTTTTGAAACTCGTAGCGATTTATAATTACATTTCCTATAATTGTTGGAAGCGCACGTACAATCTCCATAGCAAGCCCGCAAGATCGTCAGAAATACCCTCAGTGGACCCATGAGAGCCATTATGTCAACAAACGCACGTGCGTGTATTTGAATCTCTCACCGTCAATCGCATGATTCTTATCAAAAACTTCATAATAGGCAGCAATATCCTGTTAGCTAAGTTCTTTGTACTTTAAATATGACGATATATATTTTTCATGATTTTTTAAACAATGACATGATGCAATAAACGATTTAAGTACTCGGGATTATTTTTATCAAAGCGCCGCAGTCATTTACGCGCGTTCTGATTGGTTTGTCGTATTTTCTCACATAACAAGCATCGATAGGGGGACGAGTCATCTTGGAGGTTACGGAAAGAGGCGAGTGGTGACGAATGTAGTTGCTCAGGGGTGGTGGGGTGGGGTAGTGGTTAAAGCGTTCGCTCTTCACGCCGAAGACCCGGGTTCGATTCCCCACATGGGTACAATGTGTGAAGCCCATTTCTGGTGTCCCCCGCCGTGATATTGCTGGAATAAAAGCGGCGTAAAACCAAGCTCACTCACTCATGTTGTTACAGGTTAATATGACATACTGTCGTCGTCAGGTCATGCTGTAACGTGGTAAAATAACTTACTATCGTCATCATGACCACTGCTGTAGAGGTGGCACTACGGCATAATAGTGCCTTCTTGACCACGCTATGCTGTAACGGGTTAGACTTACGCACTCTTGTTGTCACGACCACGTCATGCTCTAATTGGGTAGAATGACTCACTGAGGGACTGCTGATATCACTAGTTACTCAACTGAAACGTCCTCTTTTCTATTAACTCGTCTTGAGCGTTTATATTATTGTGTTTGAAAACATATGCTGGGCACTTCAATATTTCTTTTAGCAACATCTTATTCCCTGAGGGAATGTTGTGATAGGTGTCCATGTTTGACGAAAGAGATCATGTCAATGTGACATGACAGTGTGGAACACAAGTTGTCGCTTCCCATGTGGTTCACTGGGATCTCTTACTAAGTACAGTATCGAAACCTGACTACGGCAGAGGTCACAGATTTGTGTGGCCAAGAATTGACGTGACCATGTTTTGTTTCCCACGCATTACATACGACACCACACAGACTGGCGATTTGTTTCCTGTGTTCACGAACTGCTAGCTTTCGGCATTGCTCTGAAACAATACGCATTCTTCTGAAATCTTGGCAAAATGTAATATTACTATTGAAAATGTATGAGAATATGACCATAACTGACAGTTGTAATTTAAGTTTGGGATGTGCAGTCAATGTGCATATGGAGTTTATGAGCATGTGGACGTTTGTAATAACGCCTTAACAATCGCTGCATGCGGCATTAAACAAACAACGCATATAGCATATACAGCGCTCAGAGAATCAAACAATCTAAACAATTTAGCTATCATTAGGGGGACGTTTTAGGTTGATATGTAATATAATGCCATATTTTCAACTATTAAATCCTGAGCTTAAGTACATATGTCAACTGTTTATAGTTACCTACCTTAAACAACAACGTTTGCAAACATTAATGTGTATCTCAGTAGCAGTGACTGTAAAATCCGAAGTTTCTAAAACGTCAGCTTACAAACTACAAATTGAAATAGGGCGATTACTTTAAACTGGCATAGTCTTTCTTTTTAAATTTGATTTACAGCCATTGTCAAATTATCAAATTTATGTAGGCACAGTCAACCCGTTTGTTTTTCTTTATTACATGCATATTGTTGTGCATTATCTGATGATATTTACTTCGTAGTTTAAACACATGTTCTGTTAAACAGTAAACCCAGCAGCCAATAACTATGCTACCCTTTAGCTTTCACATGATTATATATATATTATATACCACATCCCAATTGATCTCAGTCACCCACAGCCACATGAAACCCAAACTGCTCAACCCAATGGAATCACATACGAACCACAATATAGAACTGTCGAAAGCGGTATGAAAAACAACACATTTCAACAGTTTCCAAACATACACCTGAAAGGAATTTACTGGTTGTATTATTCTCGTTACACGTCCAGTAATGTCTCCGTCCACCTTGACCAGGTCATTGACTTTGATTGGTGTTCACTGGGTAGACATGTTTGTTTACAAAAGAAGCAGGCGATTGATCAATTTCAGACAATTTTTTATTACAAAACATGTTGTTAAAACAGTGTTGGGAAGAATATTTATGTATAAAAGAGCTTTTCGTAACTTTCATTGTCTAGTATCTATGTAGATATGTACATAGGCGGATCCAGAGGGTGGATCCAGAGGGTGTGTGTGTGTAAGGGGGGGTGAGCACCCTCTTTGTCCTGAAAGTTTATTAAATGAAAATTGAAACTCTCGTGAAAACGGGTGAAAACCAACTGTGCCAATTGACAGTGACAGCGAGGTACTAAGGTAAGGCACAAATTTACGTAACAAGACATTACTAATCATATGTGTCCCTTCACAAGACAATGTGTGCAATTCAAACCAGACACAAATATGTTATAATTATTGATTCGACGTAAGTAGCAAGTCTTTCCAAATGTGATGCAGTTTTCACGAAATGCTGTATCTAATCAGTATATATACTATGTGTGTATTCAAAACCGTCTTGGCTGATATTTTTCGTTTAAAGCAACAAAAGGTACAAAATGAGACGAAAAGTGAGTCAAGAAATGCAACTATTCACCAGGGAAATATAAGAACTGACTTATTCTTGAAACATTGGCATGGTACAAAAATCTATACACTCAGAGAATAAGGAAATTCTTCAGGTCGAGCTTGGTTTCTATTTAACAGCTTTTACAGTTGATGCCATGACAGAGTTCTCTCCCTTTCATTATTCAGATGACGAAGTTGACTGCTTCAGTGCTTTGAGGAAAGCTACAACAACAGGAAACAAAAATGATCGAGTCACCGGTGGCTTCCGGTAGTATCATCTGCTTTCCAAATAGTCTACATATCAGTTTGTATCTGTCCATTGCAACAGCTGCAAGGATTGACAGAGAGGATAGAGAGCAATACAGTAACAGTGTTCCATAAAACCTACAAAGCCAGTTGTGACTGACGTGTGATGTCATCTAGGGAAGATCTCTTTTGGGATGTCAGAATTCAGATTAAGCACAACGACATAGAAATACTGAACAGAAATACGACCAGTGATGTTGAATAATAAACAAACCGGTAAGCAATTACATCTTAAAGATATGTAAAGAACAAACTAGCAGCGAGTGATCGACATTGTGAGCAACTATTCACACTGTAGGTCAGTCAAACAAGTCACAGGTCCTGACCTCTCCATCTAGCAAACGGTTGCTAGGGACTAAGGACCTCTTTTAACCCGCAACTCTCATTTGTTAAGAAGTGTTTACGGAGTGAGTGAGTATGACTTTGCCACGATTTTAGCAATATTCCAGCAATATCGAAGGTTGGTACACCAAAAATGGGCTCCACACATTGTACCCATGTGGGGAATCGAACCCGGGTCATCGGTCTGACGAGCGAACGCTTTAACCACTAAGCTACCCCACCGCCCCATTTAAGGATGTGTGTGGACTCCAGCACACAGAGATGATGTGGTCAAAGAAACGGAGGTATCATCAGTCCCTCATTCCAACTGTCATGGCGTAATATATGAAGGTACTACTACATCGTAGTACCTAGTTGCAGCATGGCGTGGTTGTGAAGGCAACAGTAAGTCATTCTACCCAGTTCGAGGATGACGTGGTCGTGACGGCAGGAATGCGTAATTTAACCCGTTACATCATAGCGTGGTCGTGAAGGCACTATTATGACGTAGTACCCCGCTATTGCACAAGGTTCTCTTGATGACAATAGTGAGTCATTTACGGCAATAGAACGCCATGTTAACCCATTACCACGTGAATGGTGAACCTGGTCCTAACGAGATAACCGTCGAAATAGCGAATTTACGGGAAATTTGATGGTAAATTCCAGTACTAAACGTGTAACAGTTACTATTTTTCATGAAGATACCCTCTCCTTAAGACTGTAGGTCGGTTTTACTTATATGTCACATTATTAAACAGCATCCTCAGCTTTACCTGACATTTTCTAATGTTGCTAAATAATACTGATACAACATCATGATTCAGATATTTTTAATCTAATATGGACCACTTCAAAGGATATATGCCAGTCCAACATTCGGTTTAATGTGACATGCTATATATTCTACGTCCCTGTGTTTCTGCCACAGAGCCTTCTAAAAACACCTTTAACCTCATTCCTGAACTTGAGGTTGAAGAAACTGTACACCAGTGGATTCACTGCAGAATTTATAAAATACGAGCGAAAACACAGGTGATACACCACCAGAGGTGATCCGTCAAGGTCCTCAAATGTTTTCTGAAGAATAGAGCGCACTCCCATTGCGCAGAGATGGGGCAGGAAACTCACCACAAACACCAGTGTTATGACAATCATCATAGTGGTCGTCCTCGACACCATAGCCCTTCCGGTTTGATTGACGCGTCGTGGCGTCACGATGTCACCCTTTGGAGCATCGTCCTCTTGTTCTCTTGGTACCTGATCAATCTCTGATAGAGAACCATCATTTTTGCCCAAAGACATGTTTCGTCTTGCACAGGCGACATTTATTTGGACTGCTTCCTCAGCAGCCGGAAGTGTCCACTGATCCGTAGGTATGCTCACCAAATGACTGTCTCCACCAGAAAAATCGCATTTATCGGTATTTCTAATTCCAGGTGATGATTCAAGTCCAACTGATGAATGTGATGCATCACTGGGTCTAATCTGAAACATCACGTCAACATCTATTGGGCGTGAACGGGATTCCCTGTTTGTGATGAGTGACTGATCGCAGCGGCTTGAATGAGATTGAGTTAAAACTTCCTCTTTGCCTTGACAATGCTCCAGTCCATCTACAGCACAGCGGATTGAATACGTTGGAGTTAGAGCGTCCTCCTTGCCTTGACAACGCTCAAAATCTGCATCTCCCGAGTCAGATTCTTCCTGTTCTTGAGCGTGTGTCTGATGTTGTGTTGCGTCAGCCAACGGTTTATCACCTAAACCTTCATTATTCACAAACATATCCCTTTTTAGCTTTTCCCGAAACTGCATCTGTTTTCTTGCCCGCATTAGAATACGGGAATATAATGAGGATAATATGACAATCCCCGTCACAAATAATATTGCCTGAAATCCATGGTACACCAAAGGATAGTGTGTGTTTATCATGTCGTCACTAGTTGCACATGTATATCCTGAGATATTTGAATTTGGAACTGGCACAGTCCGTGTCCCTTGCGTAATCCACGATGGCACGGAAGCAATAACAGTTGCAAACAAACAAAGATAAATGGCTCTCCTGGTTTCCCGTAGTGTCATCTGCTTTCCAAATGGTCTACATATCAGTTTGTATCTATCCACTGCAACAGCCACAAGGATTGATCCAGAGGCTAGAGAACAATACAGTAACAGTGTGCCAAAACACTTACAAAGCCAGTTGTGGTTGAAGAGGTACATGTACCATATAGAGACGATCTCCACTGGGATGCACAAGCTACACATGATCAGATCCAACACAGCAAGGGCAACCAGGAACAGTTGAGAAGAAACGGCCTTTAGCCTGACCGTGTAGATGTAACATGCCATTAAATTCCCAAAGAAACCCACCAGCATCAGTATCCCCAAGAAGAGAGCAGCGGGCGTCAGTTGCAATGCTACCCGATCGCTATATTGTTCAAGTGAAGCACCTGTTGCATTGACGTCATCAAACATAGTTTCATTGTCAGCCAATGTTCTCCTGCCAAACGTGATTTTTCTGTCAGTGCCGTTCTTCTCAAATCAATGAAAACAAAATGCTGTAAAAAGAAAAGCTGCAGTATAATTTTAATCACATTTTAGTTCACTTACTACAACTCCTTTGAAACTATGGAATATTCATTTTACATTTGACAAGCAAAAACAAAACTTCTTTCCTCCTAAATACAAATTCCGAAAGTTTCTGATTTGAGACAGGCGCTTTGTTCATGTAAAATTGTTTTGAACGGATGTATTCATTGTTTGGTGTACATGTAAGAATACTTACTTATCATACAATGGATGGTGGAGTATCAATAATATCCTCAGTGTTCACAAGACCACACTGGCCACATATAGGTAGCTGTCAGCTGATGAAGTCGTATAACAGATTGTTGCATATATACGCCCTTTGCACTCCGCAGCTCAAAGCAAATAACACAAAACAGGATGTGAACTTCAAGGACGTTATTCAGTACTGCATGATGTGCAGAGGACACTGTCCTCTTCCTGGTCCAGTAACTATGGGAAGAATAAGTTTCATATATACTGAGTCAAAAAATAAACTTCACAAAATGTTATTTGAAAAATAATGAATAATTTTTCTCTGATGATACATCTATGTATCCGAAATGGGATCCCTATCTTTCGACTCTAGAAAAATGTTAGCAAAACCCACTCAAACCCATCCATTCGTCGTGCAAATGACGTTAGTGCTAAATCAGGTTTTGCACGTGCAGTCGATCACGTGATCTTCATATTTTCTTCAAGTTTTCTTCGTATGCGCGTGTTTGCATTGGCCTCAAGAATTGAAAAAACACTTTTAAACCACAGTTCTAACGGTACTTTAAATGCCACGATTGTCAAATGTGCAACGTGAACGTGCCGTTGGCATGTTGCAAGCGGGAAGATCAGTTATTGACGTCGCAAGAGCAATGGGATGCAGCCGTCGTACTGTGTATGACTTGCTATCCAAAGGGTTCTTAATTACCGTTTTACCCTGCCAGGTAGTTGCGTTACCTGTCAGTTATCCCACACCTGGGAGGGCGTTTCTTTACCGGAACGATAAGGGATGTGAGAGAGGTACCGTGTCAGTACCCGAGGGCCCTTTGGACCTTTACCGTAGTTCCTCCAGCAACCATAAGATGATGATCTTCGTTCCACAGTTTTATTAACACTGCGTTGCTGGTCTAACCTACTCTATTTGTCACATAATTAGGAGACTTCATCTGGAAAGCTTCAGTCTCAGTCGAAATGCTGGTGCTTTGAGTTTGTTTCTTAGTACGAAAGTTAGTGACAATCAGATTAGAGCTGATGCGCCCTAGACCCCAGGCTTGGGGTTCCTAGGTGCACACTCCTTCTCGGCTTCAGGTCTCGCACCTCTCTCTCGTCTCTGAGCTTTGCTCCAGCTTAAAGCTGGGTTCCTATGTCACAGCCAACACACTTTTCCATTTTTTCTATTGGTCAATAACCCATAACCTGACTATCTATTACCCTCCCCCACCTCTATTTCGTACCCCCAATACCATATTTGTAAGACCGTGAGGTGGATTCCAGGAATCTCAGAGTCTCTCTCCCCTAACCATATATGACTCGTAGAGTACCAAGAACTGGTAGCAGGGTCCCCGGACACGCCGCTCTGTCTTGATAGTGTAGCAGTTTTTCCCCTACCTAAGCTATGAGTCACCTCACCTTGCCCCCATCAGCTCCAACGACCTACTTTCAGGTTTATTACCTCCGCTACTGACTTCCTACCTTACAACGTTATTAATCACTTCATATCTTAAATATATTATTAAATGCTCTCATAATTTGTACCTTATCACCTCTTAATCACCCGCCATTAATAATGTCAATTGTATATCTATTATTGCAGCAATTACAATAATCTCATGCCTATTATACGACCCCCTTTCTGACTAAGAGTGTGCCCTCACACTCTAAATTCTATCTTTATCAATATTATAATTCCATGCCTATAATACGACCCCCTTTCTGACTAAGAGTGTGCCCTCACACTCTAACTTCTGTGACGCAAGGATCCAAGTTTGTGCCAAATGATTTTGTTGATTTTTCATTCTTTTGTTTTTGAATGTGACAGACAGAGCCAGTAGACTGCAACCGATTTGAAATACAATCGAGTACAACATATAGAACGGTTCACAATCCCGTTGGTTAAAATGGTTTCAACAACTACTAACATAGCAAAATATCACCCACGAGAAATGAATACAAAATGGTACAATTGTTTACAACTGAGTATAACATAAATTCATTCCGCTACCCGGTGTGTATAAGGTATCAATCCCAATACTAATACATATTTGTTTACAACAATAACTATGGGTATTTACTATATATGTGTATAACTCCCTTTGACGACATAATAAAATAATATTCTGGAAGATAATTTTGGTCCTACGGCCATGAATTGACAGGACACTTTGAGTTCGGCCCTATTATCTTTCCATTTCGTTTATAGTTTTCCCCAACGTTCCCCCACCTTAAACATATATGATCCAAAGCACTTAAAAAACAGAGGCATGCGACATAATTTATACCCCATAACGTGATCTTGTGATCGTAGTCGTCATCAAGGGGAGCCATGCTATATTGGATATTAATTACAATAGTATAGATACTGTAACTGTAAAGTACACAACGGAATATATTTGACTATCTAAAAGACTACCACAATTGAAAATAACGCACGTAAAACTTAATGACGTCCAACGGGTAACCCACTTCCCGCATGCAAGAAACGCATTGATAGAGACGGCAAAAGTATGTGCCTTGATTACGTTACAAAGTCTTCTCACTGTCGTAACTAGCACCTGACAAGTCCAATAGCAATACCTGACGTAATTTTTCAAGTATAGTGTTTGTTTGTATACATAAAAGTATAACCGTCTCTACATCCGGTCCAAGGGCCAACCAGATCGCATGTTTTCGCAAGTCTCCATTCCAGCATGGTGGTGTAGCCAACACCCTTTTCCATTTTTTCTATTGGTCAATAACCCATAACCTGACTATCTATTACTCTCTCCCACCTCTATTTCGTACCCCCAATACCATATTTGTAAGACCGTGAGGTGGATTCCAGGAATCTCAGAGTCTCTCTCCCCTAACCATATATGACTCGTAGAGTACCAAGAACTGGTAGCAGGGTCCCCGGACACGCCGCTCTGTCTTGATAGTGTAGCAGTTTTTCCCCTACCTAAGCTATGAGTCACCTCACCTTGCCCCCATCAGCTCCAACGACCTACTTTCAGGTTTATTACCTCCGCTACTGATTTCCTACCTTACAACGTTATTAATCACTTCATATCTTAAATATATTATTAAATGCTCTCATAATTTGTACCTTATCACCTCTTAATCACCCGCCATTAATAATGTCAATTGTATATCTATTATTGCAGCAAGTACAATAATCTCATGCCTATTATACGACCCCCTTTCTGACTAAGAGTGTGCCCTCACACTCTAAATTCTATCTTTATCAGTATTATAATTCCATGCCTATAATATTGCGAGGTCGTCTACAACAAACTGGCACCACTTCTGATCGCCATAGGTCGGGTCGTCCACGTGTGACGTCACGAGCAGAAGCCCGTCAAATCGTCCTACGTCACCTACGTGACAGATTTCTGCCGGCTACACGAACCAGGACTGAGATGTTTAGAGGTCGACTGTCCTCACAGACCATTCGAAATCGGTTGCGGGCTGCCAATCTCCATTCTCGACGTCCATATCGTTGGCCAATATTGACGCCGTTTCATCAACGTCAACGTCTGCTGTGGGCCCAACGTCACCTCCGATGGACCCAGAGAGACTGGAATCGAGTCGTCTTTAGCGATGAATCTAGGTTTACCCTCAGATTCGCGGACGGGAGGCATAGAGTCTGGAGACGACGTCGTGAACGGTATGCCCAATGTTGTGTACAGGAAGTCGACAGTTTCGGGGGCGGAAGCTGCATGGTGTGGGGGCTTTCTGTGAGAACAACCGTTCCCGACTTCTGGTCATCAGTGGAAACCTCACAGCTGCTGCTTTCCGCGACCAGGTGCGCATCCCTGAACTCGTTCCTTTGATGGCGGCTCATGGCCCAGGTCTACAGTTCCAGCATGATAATGCTCGGCCGCATACCGCGATGTTGACACGAAATTTCCTTCAAAACGCTGGAATCAACGTCATGGACTGGCCATCGAGGTCCCCTGACCTTAATCCAATAGAGCACGTTTGGGATGCACTTGGGAGAAGGCTTCGTGGTCTTAGGAACCAACCTCAGATTTTGCAGGAACTTGGCGCTGCCTTGCAAGAGCAATGGCGCAGAATCCCCAACCACGTGTTCACAAGCATCAGGCAGTCGATGAGGAGACCGTGTTTGGCAGTGGTGAATGCGCGGGGCGGCCATACACGATATTGAACTGAGAAATATCGCATTTTTATTCTTGTGACTTGACATTCTGTATCCCATGTTTTGGAACGGCGGTGTAGCCTAATGGAACTGTTTATGGCACTGTCAGTGTATCGAGTACATCACATAGATCTCAGCAATGAAATAATAACAATTTAACCATCTTACCATCTCTTGTTCTTTTATAGTGCCCTGAAGAAAGAATGTGAAGTTTCTTTTTTGACTCAGTATAATATGGCCACTTATATAGCACTGAGCTCCACGCCGCACGGGCATGCTTTAAGAGCATACAACATGCTGACATTATTTCCCCGGATAACCCAAGCTGACCGTGAGGCGCTAGAAGGTCAATAGTCATATGACGTATCCCACCGGTTATCCATTCACTGCACTGTGAACAGAGGCAATTGTGAACAAACTCACTTGCCAAATGTGAGGCCTTGTTACGACGTAAATTGTAATAAAAACGCAAA